AGACCAAATAAACAGCTTTACTTTTACGGGCGATTGAGATGGTTAAAGGCTTACCTGTGAAATAACTCTGATCTTGTCCTTTTTTATAATTTATTTGCCTATTTTTTTTAAAGATTTATATGATTATTGTTAGAGTTATTTTTAAAGAATTGTTTTAGATGTATTTGTTTATTTTTCTTTTTGTTTCTAATTATTTACCTTGATTTTTTTTCTAAGGTTTATTTATTCATTTTTGAAGATTTGTTTTAAGACAATATGAAAATATTAGTCAAAACATTCTGGACGATAATTACGGTGATGTCAAAATATATCGCTGATTTAATTTCCTAGTTATGGCTGTTATATCAAAGTAAACATACAGCAGCTAAATCAACGACAATACTCGTGGTAAGCTTAATATCCCTGTTTTCAATTAGACAACAGAGAGGGTCCGCGTCAGCCATGACACAGACAGCTGCAGACCGCCATTTTGTGGCTAGACTTCGTTTCCGGGAGTCTGTAATTTTCGAAATTCGGGATCTGAGTTTTAACGGATACAAGGGACATCATAATATATATATATAGAGAGAGAGATAGATAGATCAATATATATGCTTTCTCCTCAGCCACGATGTTTGCGAAATACCCTGGGATCTACAACAGCACCTGCCCCCAGCACAGGTGCATTGAGGAGCTCCACCTGATCTGCGTGGATTCCCTGTGCAAGTGCCTCACGGGTTACACTCCTGACTCGCAAGGTAAGGGAATCGGTTACTGAGTCGACAGTGTGAATTACCTGATCATTTCTTTTCTTTTTGTTTAATTTAAATGTCTATTTTTTTAAATACACAAATGTAGAAGCATAGGCCACTGTAACTCTGGATTGTGCACGGAATTTCGGCCGGTCGACAACTTTTTTATACCTGGCGTATTTTCTACCTAGCTAACCCCTTTAGGTGCCAGATAATATGCGATAGTCATTTAACCATGCTTCACACTATCTGGTGTGAACACGAATAAACAATAAATCAGTTATATAACCCTACAAGCCTTTTAGCAAACTACTTAGTAGGCACACAGGTAAAATATAACTTTCACACGCTAGCCTCATTTTGGTTCCAACCTGTGTAATGTCGTGTCAGGCAGCGATTCACCCTCGCATTTCTAGCCTGTCAGCATCAGGAAGATCGACGGCTGGGTGCGTGGAAGGGTTGCATCCATCCGTTTCAGCCATTTCCAATTCTGCCCGGATAGGCTGTATTTTGAACGGTGGTATT